GATACTCACTGGTGATGTCTTTGATGAGTTCTGCAATGGAGGTGTGGTTTGCTAGAGAACTTCTTGCTGCCTGCATGTGTGGCAACTGTGACACAAACTGCTTAATCTCTCCAACCGTTTTCGCGTGGTGTCTTTCCTAAAGAAGTCCATCGCTTCGGTTAGGTCTTGTTCAGATTAATAACATCAACTAGATCATTTTATCATGAAAAAGACTTTACTCACTGCAACAGCAGATACTGCCAGAGATATGCAACCGCTCAGACAAAAGCCTTTAAATGCTTACACTAAAGTCAGAGCATTATGAGTAACACCACTTTGATCATTAGAAGAGGCAGGACATAATATAACAGGATCATTAGACTGTATTTTTTTTCCATTATACCAGTGTTGCCAATCACTTTTCTCCACCTTTGTCTGATTTCAGCCATCACTATCTCCTCCTCAGTCTCCCTACCAGCAAAACTACTTTTTTTCATGCAAAGATGAATTACTTTGCTAGCTGCCAGTAAACATGGAGCTGTAGGCAAACGCAGTCAGAGATAGGGGACATTTCTCCTCAAAGCAGTAGTGAAAGGTGCTGAGGAACTGGGTTGGCAGGGTCTGTGTCCCTCGCAAGCAGAAGCCTGCCAGTCACTGTACCTGGCTGTAACAACGTCCCAGGTTTTGAGCAAGGAACTGATGAAGCACAATGCAGATTTCAACTCTCAGAGCAGTCCAGAGGTCTGTATTTCATTTGGGCTACTTGCCTCTTGCTGCAACTTGGAATAAAAATAATAATAATTTGACTCATATGTGAAGGATTTAAATGGACAAGTGCAGGCAGGAGAGTGATAATGACGAAGCCTGCAATTTAAGAAGTCCTCTGCTGCCAGTGTGCTGCTGTTTCATTATCACCTATTACTGCTGACAATTTCTTAAATTTCTTTTTTTTAACAACCAGTATGAATAATCCATCTTTAGCACCTTCAGCACTAATGTTGCAGTAACAGACGTTTACTAAGAGATGAGGCTGAGCACATGGTATTTCAGTTAAAGCACCGTTACCTTGTCTTAAATGTGGCAGAAGTGAAGAGGCAAAGAAAAAAACATAAGGAAATATAATCAGTGTAACAAGTTCTATCGAGAATAACCACAAAGTCTCAAAAGAGAGATATGGGGGCTCAGTTCCTTTATGAATCATCAACAGGATGTTTTCAAACAAAACCACAAACACAACCCATCCCATAGCACTCTCCAGCTTTGCCTAAGGTGATAGGTGAGCTTGAATTTACAGGTCAAGCCTCCTGCTGTTTTCTATGCCAGCCACAATATTCTATCAACGTACATTCTGGAGTTTTATTTCTTAAAGCCTTTTCTCTGTATCGCCAGTGAATACAGAGGGAAAAGGACCTTTCAGTTAACAGGAAACAGCAACAACAAAGTGGAATTGATCAGTACACTAAAATTAACCTTTGGCGTCTCGCAGAGGGAAGCAGCACCTACCTGCTCTGCAGACTGAAGAAAGCAATTCCTAGTAAGGGAACTATGGGCTCACACAGCAGAATTGTGGTTTAGGCTGGCACAAGACAAGCTTTTAACAGTGAGGATAGGAAAAGCCCCAGAACAGAGATGGGGAGAAGAGAGGATCTGCGTTACTACAGGATTCTTAAGAGGAGATTTGACCAACACCTACTCAGAACAGTTGAAGTGGAGCTGATCTCATCCCAGGGCAGAGGAACAGCCTGGGGAAGCTTCTGAAGACTACCTGCTTTTCTTCTGGTTGGGGGATTACTCCATGGCAACAGCACACGCTGCCAGTCACAGCCCAGCTGAATGCAGGCTGTGACTTACCTGACGACAAGAATGCCCAAGGGATGCACAGTCGGATACAGGCCTCACCTCAAAGGCTGCTGAGATGATCTTGGCTTTCTTGCTCAGCACCGACCCCACAGCATTGAAGTTCTTGTCCCGGATTTCAGCATACAGCTCTTCAGCAGAGTTCAGCTGGAGCTTCTTGGGTTCTGTGGGGAGATCTTTCCCACCCTCACCTTGCTTCTTCGGGGCAAACTTCTCAGGAGGGAGTTTCACATAAGCTACCAAATGCAGAGAAATAACCATTATAAGGACTGGAACTTCACCACCCTAAGTTAAGATAAGCAAGCTGTGTCCCCTGAGCAGTTCTGAGCAGTAAAGCTAATATAAATGCCCAAATGACTCAGTGCATATGTGATAATTAAGGGGAGTCTCACCCAGGGACCCAGGGATATATGCACACATACATGATCAGAACCCAAGTGCTAGCTACCCAGCTACCAAAGAGGTTTGGAGGCAGCCTTCCAGCCAGTCTTCAGTAAGCAGGAGGGATTAAAACCTGTAAATGCCTCTCTGGAGTTTTTCACACTACCTCCTGAAGAGCAGGAGAGCGCTCTGGATAGCCTTTCACAAACTGTTCCTGTCCCCTCGGTGTGGCACACGAGCCAGTCAGGCTGGAGGGTGAAGGCACACTCTTAACGTTTCTCCTCCCACGCTGTGTTCTGTGTCCCCATGGCTGCACCCAGCCAACATCCAAAATACACCCATTCAGTAACCATGCTCTGAACCCAACACCCCTTCCTAGGCAAGAATAAAGCCAGAGCTGATCTCGATGGGATGCTTCAGACCCAAGCTGAGTTCAGGTGAGCAGCTCCCACCTCACAGTCATTTAGCAAAGCAGAAACCCACCTGACACACGTTAACCCCCTCCAGCAAGCCAGAGACCCCCCGTACCCGGCAGTACTTACTGTTCTGAATTCCATAGATTTCATCTATCAGCCCCTCGTACGTCAGCTGCGTAGCCAACGGCGTCAGCAGATCAACGTTGCGGTCCAGCAACAAGAGGGTGTCAAAGACGGGAAATATCGAGTTCTGGCTTCCAGGGAACTCGCGCTTCATCCTGATCATCATATTAGCCACGTGCTGAAAATAAATCACGTTAGTCTGGTTATGGCGCAGGCCACTGCAGACAGATTTGACTTCTAGGCCCTACAAGCACATGCAAGTATGGGGTGCAGCCCTGTGTAAAGGAGGAGAATGGCAAGAGGTACAGACCGGCTGACAGATCAGGGGAGGACAAGACCAGAAAAAAAAAAAACAACCAAAAAAAAGGTACTTCTCTGCTGCTCTCTGCAGCTTAGCAAGACAGTGACTGGGGCCGAAGCACTGGGTTCATCTCAAGCTTCTCCCTCATTACAAAAGGTACCAATTAAACCACAGGGCATTCAGAGAGAAGAAAAAAGAGTGAGTTACAGGGAGAGATGAAAAAGCAAAGGCATGAGCAGAAGGTTACGTATTTCCTGCTTTATTCAGCCCTTCAGATAACCAACAGTTAAAACTCCACAGAAATAAGAACTGCTGAAAACATAAAGGTATGAGCATCTATGAGCAAAAAGCATCCAAAATCAGATAAATCCTCCTGGCAGGAAGGCTTATGGAACAGCAAAGATTGTTCTTTTGGCCAGAGATGACAAAGACCAATGGCCACAATCCCAAAATTCCAGTATGACAAGAAGGGTCCATGACTGGATTCTGAAAACCCACAGATGTGTTTAACCAAACACTCCTTAAAGCAGTTCCAAAGAACAAGATGCAGTTTTTAAGCAGCAATGTTTGCCTCACCCGGGCACACTCGCCCTTCCCAAAAATCTGCGGGATGGTTCCGTAGAGAGCCTGCAGCGTCATCAGCCCCTTGGCCGCGTGGTACAGACTCGTCTGGTCGCTCTCCAGGTAACATTCCTAAACAAGAAGAAGGATTCCCGATGGAAGGTTTTGATCCAACACAGCTGCTTCCCCAGCTGAACGTGGTCCATATGAAGAGTTCAGAGCAGACATAGGCTGAGGAAAAGCTATGATTGTTGGCAAATATGGACCTTATCTATGCTGTACATCAAATCACTTGATCAGACCAGACACTGTAATACTTCTGAACCCTACATGCTACTCCCAGTTTGATGCAGAGGGGTTAAAAAAGCCAGAACGCAACTGCGAAGAGACTCTCCCTCTAATTAGGCCAATCTGGGAGCACAACACCTCAGCACAGCTGCCGACAAGCAGCTGCAAGCCCTGACGTGTCCTCTGGGCTACGCTTAATCAGGCAGAGATGGCCAAAGAAACTCTCCAACCTTCCTGTCCCCAGACACAGCATTCTGAGAAAACAGGGTACACAGCTGGTATGTGGCAGCTGCTAATTCGGGGTGCAGCATAGGGTACAGTGCTCACCCTTGTACATGGCTCTTCAGCCACACATTGACACAAACTGTGCTAAGCTGTTTGTAATGACTAAGTATTCAAGCCTCATGGATGCTCGATTTGTGAAAATAACACCAGCAGTTAAAGCTGGAGGTACAGGGGTGCAGCTTGGGGTAGTGACTATTCCTTCAGAAAGCACTCTGAGAAGTTCAGGCTCAGCTCAGCACTCAGGATCAAGCCACATTTGTTCTGCAAGGCCTTTCCCTTCTGCGTGGGTCATCAGCAAACCCCCTGAGAGCCTCCGTACCAAACACCAACAGCCAACACAAAAAATGCACAGCGTTTTTCCTCAAAGACGAAACAAGTGCTTACCTTGAACGCGCTCTCAGACTCCATGGAGAGGAGGTCTCCGTCGAAGGGGATCAAGTCCAGGCTGTACTGCTCCCGGTGGATGAAGGACCCCAGCACGCCCTGCTCCTTCAGCCACTGCTCGCAGAGCAGGCTGCGGCGCGGCACAAAGAGGATGTGAAAGTCCCTCTGGGGAGAGCGGCCTCTGTCTTCCCTGGAAGAGTCACAGGCAGGAGCACAGCAAACGGTAACTCAGCTGGGCAGGTGACGGGTGCAGCCCAGGGGCTGGGGACACTGAATTCAGAGGAGATGGGAACACTGGGCTTGGTGATTATTGCCAACTTCCAGCCCCAGCTTTGTGTTTCAGAATGCTTTTTTACCCACCCCCCCACACGCATCCACAGCCACAGGTGGACAAGGTGACTCTATTTTAAAACACATATAAGCACCTCCTGAGTCATTGCTATCAGCCCAAAGAGAAGCCTCGGTGCTCTGTCTGTACACACTGGAGGTCAACGCTACCCATAGATGAGTCTCTCTAGAATGCAAGTGGTGTAGAGCTGAGGCTTCCATGTGGATTCTCTCAGAAATTTACTGATCCAAAAGGTACAGACCAACCTGGAGAATCTCTCTTTTGTAATGGTCCAGAACCTTCTGCTTCAGTCCACTATTGCACACAGATTGCAAGCAAACGAGACGTAAGATCTTGATTAACGGGTGTTTTTGAGCTATGCAGTCTTCAATATAATTGTTAACCTATTAAAAAAAAACAAAACACCAAAACATAACCTGTTATTTAGTGACCTGTTAAAGTACCTAGAAGATCTAGAAAGATCTGCTCAAGACCATCTGTAAACAGTGATCCAGCACTAGTTCCACCTCAGGTCTTTCTAGAGCGTGTCTGTTCTACAGGCAATAGCCAAGACTTTGTCTCATGCACTGAAAAAATTCTGATTAATGGTCCTCAATCTTTCACTGATCCCTCAGAGCACTTGGTGCCCCTGTAAAGTCAAAGCACCCCAGCTGTACACATCTGTTACAGGCAACGACAGACAACTGGAGCCTGGCAAAGCACACGGTACAGCATCATCTCCACGTACACTCAGCAATGTGTGTCACTTGGAAAAAAACTGCAAATGTGCAGGAGACACATGTGAGAGCTCACAACCTTTACACTGGAAGGAGACAGGCATCATCTAGATCAGATTTCTCCTCCCTCAAAAAAAAAAAAAGGAAAAGATCCAGAGAAATAAGTTTGATTTTTTTTGAAGACGTAAGAGTCACTAATTGTCTTTATCTACTTACCTTGTCTGTGTCTATGCCAGACATGAACTCTTGTTCCACTGTTAAATTATCAAAGAAATCTTCAGATGCTTTGGGAAAAGAATGAAAATCAATACAATAGCAACTGACAGCGTATTTTGTACATTTAACATTTCAGCAGAGATGCACTGGATGGAGCACAGCCAATTTTTGCCAAGCTGAGTGATGTCCATCAAGCTGCCTTGCATCTCGCTATATTGAAATCAGTCAGAAAGACTATTCAATGGATACTCACTGGTGATGTCTTTGATGAGTTCTGCAATGGAGGTGTGGTTTGCTAGAGAACTTCTTGCTGCCTGCATGTGTGGCAACTGTGACACAAACTGCTTAATCTCTCCAACCGTTTTCGCGTGGTGTCTTTCCTAAAGAAGTCCATCGCTTCGGTTAGGTCTTGTTCAGATTAATAACATCAACTAGATCATTTTATCATGAAAAAGACTTTACTCACTGCAACAGCAGATACTGCCAGAGATATGCAACCGCTCAGACAAAAGCCTTTAAATGCTTACACTAAAGTCAGAGCATTATGAGTAACACCACTTTGATCATTAGAAGAGGCAGGACATAATATAACAGGATCATTAGACTGTATTTTTTTTCCATTATACCAGTGTTGCCAATCACTTTTCTCCACCTTTGTCTGATTTCAGCCATCACTATCTCCTCCTCAGTCTCCCTACCAGCAAAACTACTTTTTTTCATGCAAAGATGAATTACTTTGCTAGCTGCCAGTAAACATGGAGCTGTAGGCAAACGCAGTCAGAGATAGGGGACATTTCTCCTCAAAGCAGTAGTGAAAGGTGCTGAGGAACTGGGTTGGCAGGGTCTGTGTCCCTCGCAAGCAGAAGCCTGCCAGTCACTGTACCTGGCTGTAACAACGTCCCAGGTTTTGAGCAAGGAACTGATGAAGCACAATGCAGATTTCAACTCTCAGAGCAGTCCAGAGGTCTGTATTTCATTTGGGCTACTTGCCTCTTGCTGCAACTTGGAATAAAAATAATAATAATTTGACTCATATGTGAAGGATTTAAATGGACAAGTGCAGGCAGGAGAGTGATAATGACGAAGCCTGCAATTTAAGAAGTCCTCTGCTGCCAGTGTGCTGCTGTTTCATTATCACCTATTACTGCTGACAATTTCTTAAATTTCTTTTTTTTAACAACCAGTATGAATAATCCATCTTTAGCACCTTCAGCACTAATGTTGCAGTAACAGACGTTTACTAAGAGATGAGGCTGAGCACATGGTATTTCAGTTAAAGCACCGTTACCTTGTCTTAAATGTGGCAGAAGTGAAGAGGCAAAGAAAAAAACATAAGGAAATATAATCAGTGTAACAAGTTCTATCGAGAATAACCACAAAGTCTCAAAAGAGAGATATGGGGGCTCAGTTCCTTTATGAATCATCAACAGGATGTTTTCAAACAAAACCACAAACACAACCCATCCCATAGCACTCTCCAGCTTTGCCTAAGGTGATAGGTGAGCTTGAATTTACAGGTCAAGCCTCCTGCTGTTTTCTATGCCAGCCACAATATTCTATCAACGTACATTCTGGAGTTTTATTTCTTAAAGCCTTTTCTCTGTATCGCCAGTGAATACAGAGGGAAAAGGACCTTTCAGTTAACAGGAAACAGCAACAACAAAGTGGAATTGATCAGTACACTAAAATTAACCTTTGGCGTCTCGCAGAGGGAAGCAGCACCTGGCTGCTCTGCAGACTGAAGAAAGCAATTCCTAGTAAGGGAACTATGGGCTCACACAGCAGAATTGTGGTTTAGGCTGGCACAAGACAAGCTTTTAACAGTGAGGATAGGAAAAGCCCCAGAACAGAGATGGGGAGAAGAGAGGATCTGCGTTACTACAGGATTCTTAAGAGGAGATTTGACCAACACCTACTCAGAACAGTTGAAGTGGAGCTGATCTCATCCCAGGGCAGAGGAACAGCCTGGGGAAGCTTCTGAAGACTACCTGCTTTTCTTCTGGTTGGGGGATTACTCCATGGCAACAGCACACGCTGCCAGTCACAGCCCAGCTGAATGCAGGCTGTGACTTACCTGACGACAAGAATGCCCAAGGGATGCACAGTCGGATACAGGCCTCACCTCAAAGGCTGCTGAGATGATCTTGGCTTTCTTGCTCAGCACCGACCCCACAGCATTGAAGTTCTTGTCCCGGATTTCAGCATACAGCTCTTCAGCAGAGTTCAGCTGGAGCTTCTTGGGTTCTGTGGGGAGATCTTTCCCACCCTCACCTTGCTTCTTCGGGGCAAACTTCTCAGGAGGGAGTTTCACATAAGCTACCAAATGCAGAGAAATAACCATTATAAGGACTGGAACTTCACCACCCTAAGTTAAGATAAGCAAGCTGTGTCCCCTGAGCAGTTCTGAGCAGTAAAGCTAATATAAATGCCCAAATGACTCAGTGCATATGTGATAATTAAGGGGAGTCTCACCCAGGGACCCAGGGATATATGCACACATACATGATCAGAACCCAAGTGCTAGCTACCCAGCTACCAAAGAGGTTTGGAGGCAGCCTTCCAGCCAGTCTTCAGTAAGCAGGAGGGATTAAAACCTGTAAATGCCTCTCTGGAGTTTTTCACACTACCTCCTGAAGAGCAGGAGAGCGCTCTGGATAGCCTTTCACAAACTGTTCCTGTCCCCTCGGTGTGGCACACGAGCCAGTCAGGCTGGAGGGTGAAGGCACACTCTTAACGTTTCTCCTCCCACGCTGTGTTCTGTGTCCCCATGGCTGCACCCAGCCAACATCCAAAATACACCCATTCAGTAACCATGCTCTGAACCCAGCACCCCTTCCTAGGCAAGAATAAAGCCAGAGCTGATCTCGATGGGATGCTTCAGACCCAAGCTGAGTTCAGGTGAGCAGCTCCCACCTCACAGTCATTTAGCAAAGCAGAAACCCACCTGACACACGTTAACCCCCTCCAGCAAGCCAGAGACCCCCCGTACCCGGCAGTACTTACTGTTCTGAATTCCATAGATTTCATCTATCAGCCCCTCGTACGTCAGCTGCGTAGCCAACGGCGTCAGCAGATCAACGTTGCGGTCCAGCAACAAGAGGGTGTCAAAGACGGGAAATATCGAGTTCTGGCTTCCAGGGAACTCGCGCTTCATCCTGATCATCATATTAGCCACGTGCTGAAAATAAATCACGTTAGTCTGGTTATGGCGCAGGCCACTGCAGACAGATTTGACTTCTAGGCCCTACAAGCACATGCAAGTATGGGGTGCAGCCCTGTGTAAAGGAGGAGAATGGCAAGAGGTACAGACCGGCTGACAGATCAGGGGAGGACAAGACCAGAAAAAAAAAAACAACCAAAAAAAAGGTACTTCTCTGCTGCTCTCTGCAGCTTAGCAAGACAGTGACTGGGGCCGAAGCACTGGGTTCATCTCAAGCTTCTCCCTCATTACAAAAGGTACCAATTAAACCACAGGGCATTCAGAGAGAAGAAAAAAGAGTGAGTTACAGGGAGAGATGAAAAAGCAAAGGCATGAGCAGAAGGTTACATATTTCCTGCTTTATTCAGCCCTTCAGATAACCAACAGTTAAAACTCCACAGAAATAAGAACTGCTGAAAACATAAAGGTATGAGCATCTATGAGCAAAAAGCATCCAAAATCAGATAAATCCTCCTGGCAGGAAGGCTTATGGAACAGCAAAGATTGTTCTTTTGGCCAGAGATGACAAAGACCAATGGCCACAATCCCAAAATTCCAGTATGACAAGAAGGGTCCATGACTGGATTCTGAAAACCCACAGATGTGTTTAACCAAACACTCCTTAAAGCAGTTCCAAAGAACAAGATGCAGTTTTTAAGCAGCAACGTTTGCCTCACCCGGGCACACTCCCCCTTCCCAAAAATCTGCGGGATGGTTCCGTAGAGAGCCTGCAGCGTCATCAGCCCCTTGGCCGCGTGGTACAGACTCGTCTGGTCGCTCTCCAGGTAACATTCCTAAACAAGAAGAAGGATTCCCGATGGAAGGTTTTGATCCAACACAGCTGCTTCCCCAGCTGAACGTGGTCCATATGAAGAGTTCAGAGCAGACATAGGCTGAGGAAAAGCTATGATTGTTGGCAAATATGGACCTTATCTATGCTGTACATCAAATCACTTGATCAGACCAGACACTGTAATACTTCTGAACCCTACATGCTACTCCCAGTTTGATGCAGAGGGGTTAAAAAAGCCAGAACGCAACTGCGAAGAGACTCTCCCTCTAATTAGGCCAATCTGGGAGCACAACACCTCAGCACAGCTGCCGACAAGCAGCTGCAAGCCCTGACGTGTCCTCTGGGCTACGCTTAATCAGGCAGAGATGGCCAAAGAAACTCTCCAACCTTCCTGTCCCCAGACGCAGCATTCTGAGAAAACAGGGTACACAGCTGGTATGTGGCAGCTGCTAATTCGGGGTGCAGCATAGGGTACAGTGCTCACCCTTGTACATGGCTCTTCAGCCACACATTGACACAAACTGTGCTAAGCTGTTTGTAATGACTAAGTATTCAAGCCTCATGGATGCTCGATTTGTGAAAATAACACCAGCAGTTAAAGCTGGAGGTACTGGGGTGCAGCTTGGGGTAGTGACTATTCCTTCAGAAAGCACTCTGAGAAGTTCAGGCTCAGCTCAGCACTCAGGATCAAGCCACATTTGTTCTGCAAGGCCTTTCCCTTCTGCGTGGGTCATCAGCAAACCCCCTGAGAGCCTCCGTACCAAACACCAACAGCCAACACAAAAAATGCACAGCGTTTTTCCTCAAAGACGAAACAAGTGCTTACCTTGAACGCGCTCTCAGACTCCATGGAGAGGAGGTCTCCGTCGAAGGGGATCAAGTCCAGGCTGTACTGCTCCCGGTGGATGAAGGACCCCAGCACGCCCTGCTCCTTCAGCCACTGCTCGCAGAGCAGGCTGCGGCGCGGCACGAAGAGGATGTGAAAGTCCCTCTGGGGAGAGCGGCCTCTGTCTTCCCTGGAAGAGTCACAGGCAGGAGCACAGCAAACGGTAACTCAGCTGGGCAGGTGACGGGTGCAGCCCAGGGGCTGGGGACACTGAATTCAGAGGAGATGGGAACACTGGGCTTGGTGATTATTGCCAACTTCCAGCCCCAGCTTTGTGTTTCAGAATGCTTTTTTTACCCACCCCCCATGCACAGCCACAGCCACGGGTGGACAAGGTGACTCTGCTTCCCTGCGGTTCTCAGAAGAGGGGGATCAATCAAAGCATGACTCATTCCAGCTAATCAGAGGGAATGCACATCTTAATGAGAAATACACCCCTCTCCATCGCCAGCCAAAGCGACCCACCGCTCCCTTCCCTCACATTCCGACTCCAGCCCCAGGAATGGCCACGCTGCAGTTTTCATAGAATCATAGACTGGTTTGGGTTGGAAAGGACCTTAAAGATCATCCAGTTCCAACCCCCTGCCCTGGGCAGGGACACCTCCCACCAGACCAGGTTGCTCCAAGCCCCATCCAGCCTGGCCTTGAACCCCTCCAGGGATGGGGCAGCCACAACTTCCCTGAGCAACCTGTTCGTGCCTCACCACCCTCACAGTTCTGGTACCTGCGCTGCACAGAGCCACAACTTCCCTCGGCAACCTGTTCCAGTGCCTCACCACCCTCACAGTTCTGGTGCCTGCGCTGCACGTAGTTCCCCATTTTGGGCCCAGAAGTGACAAACCACAGAGCACTTTCAGGCCAAATCTGTCCCCACACAGGACAGACCCCAACAGCCCCAAGAAGCGACCCCTTGCCCCCACCGCACCGGAGCACATTGTCGGTGATGATGTCCATCAGCTCCAGCTTGGGCCTGACAAAGAAGATGATGTTCTTGACGTCCGCCGGCGGCAGGCGGCCCGGCTTGAGCGTGAACATCTTCTCCACCTCATGTTCCTGCGCAGAGACAAGGGGGAGGGACCCACCAGTGACAAGGCCCCACCACCCGAGGAGCCACCACCCCCCGTTTTTGGGCCCAGAAGTGACAAATCACAGAGAAGTTTCAGGCCAAACCTGTCCCCGCACAGGACAGACCCCAACAGCCCTGAGAAGCGACCCCTCGCCCCCGCCGCACCGGAGCACGTTGTCAGTGATGATGTCCATCAGCTCCAGCTTGGGCCTGACGAAGAAGATGATGTTCTTGACGTCCGCCGGTGGCAGGCGGCCCGGCTTGAGCGTGAACATCTTCTCCACCTCATGTTCCTGTGTGGAGACAAGGCCGTTAGCTGCCCGTGGGGGAGGGACCCACCGGGGGAGGGACCCACTGGTGACAAGGCCCCGCCACCCCCCGCTGCCCACCGCCTTTACCTTCAGGAGTGAGTACTGCGCGATCAGCCCGAAGGGCCCCGTCAGGGGGGGGTGTGAGGGGGTGAATGGGTCCGTCGGTCCGTCCGTCCTCTCCCCCGGCCCCGCTCTCACCTTGGACCCCGCGCACTTGTCCAGGAACTCGCGGAGCTCGCGGCGCCCGGCCTCGCGCAGCGCGGTCAGGTTGACGCGCCCCGAGCTCAGGTGCGCCGCCATCGCCTTCCCCCCGTTCACGTGACGCCGCCCGCCACGTGACGTGTGACGCGTGAGGGCGGTGGCGCGCTGGCACGGGGCAGCCCCACCCCCTCCCGCTGGCGGCACAGCGCCCTCTGGCGGGCACCAGGTCAACCCGGGCGGCAGCGAAAACGCTGCGGAGGCTGAGAGATTTAGGGGGTCTGCCTGGAGAAGGGGGGGTCTGTGAGGAGGTCTGTGGGGGGGTGAGTGGTTTGTGAGGGGGTCTGTGTGGGGATGAGGGGTCTGTGAGGAGGTCTGGGGGGGTGTGAGGGGGTGAATGGGTCCGTCGGTCCGTCCGTCCTCTCCCCCGGCCCCGCTCTCACCTTGGACCCCGCGCACTTGTCCAGGAACTCGCGGAGCTCGCGGCGCCCGGCCTCGCGCAGCGCCGTCAGGTTGACGCGCCCCGAGCTCAGGTGCGCCGCCATTGCCTCCCCCCCGCTCACGTGACACCGCCCGCCACGTGACGTATGACGTGTGAGGGCGGCGGCGCGCTGGCACGGGGCAGCCCCACCCCCTCCCGCTGGCGGCACAGCGCCCTCTGGCGGGCACCAGGTCAACCCGGGCGGCAGCGAAAACGCTGCGGAGGCTGAGAGATTTAGGGGGTCTGCCTGGAGAAGGGGCTCCGGGGAGAACTTAGAGCCCCTTCCAGTACCCAAAGGGGGCTTGAAAGAAAGACGGGGCCAGGCTTTTTAGCAGGGCCTGTTGCGATAGGACGAGGGATAATGGCTTTGAGCTAAAAGAGGGAAGTTTTACAGTAGATACAAGGGAGGGATAATGGCTTTGAACTAAAAGAGGGAATTTTTACAGTAGATACAAAGGAGAAATTTTTTGCATTGGCCCAGGTTGTCCAGAGAGGTGAGAGATGCCCCAGCCCTGGAAACATTCAAGGTCAGGCTGGATCTAGTTGAAGATGTTCCTTCTCAACCTTTAAAGGTCCCTTCCAACCCAAACTATTATATGATTAGTTATTCTATAATTAGGGTCCAGCAGAGGGCCACGAAGATGATCAGAGGGATGGAGCACCTCTCCTGTGAGGACAGGCTGAGAGAGCTGGGGTTGTTCAGCCTGGAGAAGAGAAGGCTCCAAGCAGACCTTACAGCAGCCTTCAAGTGTCTGAAGAGAGCTACAGGAGAGCTGGGGAGGGACTCTTCGTCAGGAAGTGCAGTGACAGGACAAGGGGTAACGGTTTTAAATTGAAGAGGGGAGATTTAGATTAGATACCAGAAAGAAATTCTTTGCTGTGAGGGTGGTGGGACACTGGAACAGGTTGCCCAGAGAAGCTGTGGATGCCCCATCCCTGCAAATGTTTAAGGCCTGGTCTGGTGGGAGGTGTCCCTGCCCATGGAAGGGGGTTTGGAACTAGATGAGCTTTAAGGTCCCTTCCAACTCTAACCATTCTATCATTCTACAATTCAAACCCCTTCTCTTTTGCACCAAATTCCCTGTCTTCCACACTTTTGTTGACATCAGCAACATTTGTCGGCTGCAGGAGGGTTCCCATGAAGTGTTAGTGAAAACATCCCACAACACTGCTAATGTTTTTCTCTCTATTTATTTAGAGTGCGGGCACAGGGCATGTTTGTCCCCACAAAGACCCCGTTACATTCCTAATAGAACAAAAAGATATGAAAGAAAACACACCTTTTTTTTCCAAAATATAACTTTAATATATATATGCATATATACACACACGCACACTATATAGAAGCTGAAAGAATGAAAAAAAAAAAAAAAAAAAGGGATGTCCCACAAACTGTTTTAGGTGTGCACAGCATACAGGTTTCTAGAAAAACCCCACAGCAGCTCCGTCTCTTACCTGCTTCAGGATTTCACGTTTCACACCGACGTCAAACCACAACCCGGAGCTCGGGTTCACTGAGTGAAATCACAATCAAATGAGTAAATGAAAATAAAGATGAAATATTTCTCAACCCAGTCCAGTGTCAAAGAAAAGCTTAAAAATCTAAATGTACAAATTCAGCCTTAAAATGGTTTAGTGCAAATATGAAAATTAACAGCATAATTTTAAGGTATTTAAATAAGCTTTAATATAACTATAGTGCTTCGTTCCTATACATGTTTTCCCATCAATAGATGCAACAGCACGGGGGCACTTCTTGTTAAGAGTGGGGACAAACCCAGAACCTGGGAAGAAACAGCATAAAGTCTTCTGTTAAATCATTTATTTATATTTTACTTAAGTTTATTAAAGGGAGAGAGGGTATTTATTAGTGGAGGAGCAAAATATTTATCAATTTAACTTGATTCCGGGAGTGGTGAGGGTATTTATTAGTGGAGGAGCAAAATATCAATTTAACTTGATTCCGGGAGTGGCTGGGCGAGGGGAATGGGAGCCAGGGCTGGGGGCGGGGTGGGGGTAGGTCAAGAAACGCTGTCCCTTTTCCTGACATTGAGCACACACGAATGCTGGTGGCATAAATCGTCCGATGACGGCGTGCAGACGGTCCGTCCTCGCTGCTGCACGTCCCACTAGAAGGTCTCGTCGTCGTTGCAGTCGGCCGTCCAGTGCCCGAACATCTCGCAGGTGTCGCAGTAGGGACGCTCCTCTCTCCTGCTGCCGTGATAGGCCGAGTGGGGCGGCTCCTCCAGCATCTGCGCCTGCGTGGGACAGTCTTCGGTGTCGTGAAGGTCAAAGCAGCCGCAGATATCGCAGAAGAGACGAGGTTTCTTCTTGGACAAGCTTTCTTCCTCACTGCAAGATCAGCACCAAAGTCAAGCAGGGTACTTCTCCTCCATAAAGGAGAAAGGGCTGCTGCCCTGCCCTGCTCGATAAGCTGTCTCATAATTATTGAGACTAAGGAAACACCACAGGGGTCAACAACAACACAAAAATAATTACAAAATCCCTTCTGAAGATCTTCTGACATCTTAACTACCTTGCAGTACCCCCATAATCCCTTATACGATAATATTTACTAAACAATCTGCTCTGTTGGTGTAAATAATTGCATAAATGCAGACATTATTTTAAAAAAAAAACAACCCACATGTAAACTAGTTTCTCTTTTCTCTTGACAGCAGAGATCTGAAGTCACAGTTTAGAGAATTGGTTTTAGCTCTGTTTCTCTGGATGGATCTCCTCATCTCAATGTAGCTACCTGGGGCCTCTTGAGAGCAAAAATTCTACTTCATTTGGAAAGGGCCAAACTCAACCAACACTGACAACAAATATATTACGATACCCTAGTGTTTGTGACTGATAACTACAGAGGATCATTTTGCACTACCCAATACACTGTAGTAATGGACCTAAAAAGAAGGCTGGATCCAATCACCCTAAATTCAAGAGGAAGCTCCATCTTGACAGCCGAAATCAGGCTGGTGCGTTGTGCAGGTGACAGAACTGACTGATACCAACAGTTCCCAAAACACAAGCCAAGGTTTTCCTTTAGGATTTATACCTGTCGTAGTTATTTATCTCCTCTTCATTGCCATTCAGGGCTGCTTCACACATTCTTTGTATTTTCAAGTTCAATTCTTCGTTTCTCCGTTGCAAATCCACTATCACTGAGTTCAGGAAGTCAATCTGTGACAGTCAAGAACAAGGACAGTCAGCAGGCTGGGGACTGCACTTCAGAGAAAGCCAGACAAGGAATAACCCTCCAACTGACAGGTGCAGATCCGCATTAACTCCTGCCACTGGATCGTTGTGAGATTTCAGTGTCCATCACTGAAAGAACAAGAACTTCCCCAAGGACCTCTGAGACCCTCGGGGTGATTTCTGCCCAGGGAGTCAGGTAGTTCTGTCCAGCCAACACATCTGAGACATCGGTGGGTCTCAACCCACCACCGACAGATCGGGTTCTTTTTCTAATGTTACATTTTGAACCCAAATTCAGTTGTGAATTCTGATCAGAACAGCATCTCTGTTCCTGCAGCTCTAGGGGATACAGCGCAGGGCACTGGTAGGACATGTCCCAAAGCTAATTTGAGCCACAGAGATCAGCAGGCCAGCCCTGCAGCAGCACTGTAGTCAAGTAATGCTTGGTAAATTAACAGTGAATAAAAGAAAGGAAGCCAAAAAGTAGAACAAACCTCGTGCTGATCAGAAGGAGGGGTTGCCATCAGCAGGTGAGTTCAAGGAGGCAGAAAAACAGAAAAATATTGGTGATTAGTGTGTGTTAATTACACAACTTCTAATCTCTGTACAGAGTAGGAAGGACTTTTTTTTTAATCAACATCACTGACATTAGAGATCTAACAAGGACTTTTATAATGAGCAGAAGGTGCTTCTCTTCTATCTGTGTTTCCTAGGCGTTTGCTGTCATGCTGCCTGTGGCACGGCAGCACTTCACATGTTCATTATGATTATTGTACTCTTTGATACATGTTTTTCCTCACGCTAACTGAGCAAATTCCTTGCCCCATTGCTGCCAACCCTCATTCTGAGTAAAGTTCTGCAGTTAAAAAGCAAAGATCAACATTTCCAACTGTAGAAGCTTAGACGTAACACGTGAGGTCAGGCAGCCCATTTCTCCAAGATGGCAAGCATGGCAGATTCAGGTGGGTCACACCTTACTCCTCATTCACATCCAAGAAACCTTTGGAAAGGATGCCAGGGAGCAGTTTGAGTGTGCTCTGCTGGGCTGTACCTCACCAACAGGCTGCAGGTCAAAACTCTCCACCTGCTTTCCTGCCTGTTCCCTCACATCCCAATAACCTGGACTATTTCTCCAGTATCACTCATCACTTGATTCTTACTATTTCCTGCTGTTAGTATTTCCCTTCAGAAGCAGAAGGTTACAAGATAATTCTGCCCATTAGAACTGTGATGTACAAAATCTGATTAGGAACTGTCTTTGGAAAAACGTTTGACTCTGCCTGTAGACACACTGTTGTTTTAGCATGTTGAGGTTTCAGATCAAGTACCTGCTTCTCTTTTGCAATTTCATCTTGAAGTAGATTAGCAGCAATGTCACCTTGAAAGGAAAAAACCAAACAAACAGAACCAAAGTATAAGT